ATTTACATTTTAAAAGAGTTTTACCGCCAAAAAGGCAGCCATCTTGGAATTTTTTGTAATGACGTCATTTTTCCGATTAATTTTTTTAACGAGAGTGAGGAGTAACTGTTTAGCCAAGTTTTGTTACATTTGATATACATAGCATATGTAAAAGTGACTAAAAACACACATTTGTTTCCCCTATCCCCATCTTAATTAGCCCAAAATAGGATATTTTATGTCAAAATTTTAAAGTGCTATAAAAAAATTGCCCAAGCTCTAAGAATGGGGATTTTTTTTCTGAGACACTATATGATATACTGATTCAGAAAAACCAAAAATTAATTTTCCTTTACTTTTTTCCCGCTAATTTCCTACTGCACCCAGGCTAGATGTGTGTGAAGAAAACATTAAAACAATATTTTAATTTGGACCTTCAAAAAGCAGTTAAAAAGAAATGGCTAAAGCCTGTTAAGCCCCCCTCTAAATCCGCCCCTGGTATCACTCCTCAATGGGTTAGCTAACCTGTTCATGGGGCACCACCATTTACTGACGTACCGGTTCCTTTTTTTGACGATATGTTTTGCTTATTTTATTCCAAACATGATGCTAACATTCAATTTGAAAAAGGAGTATTGTTACAACAAAATATTATCCTTCATTGACATTCTTTTCTAAAATTCTTATAACTCATTAATAACTTCAGTCTATTATAAAAACACATACCAGCTTGCTAACAAATTTCCATAACTTTAAATTACATAAAATATCTAAACGTGGACTTCCACATACCCTGATTGATCGTATTTTAAATATCAGTAGCACTTGAAAGGCCTTTTTTACCGAAAAATTGTTACCAAATTTTAAAATTTAATATAATAATACATAAATTAACAAATTATTGTCCACCCTTTTGGATCCTCCTAAACACAATTCTTATTTTTAAGTTACCATATGCACCATTATTCAACTATTTCAAATAATAAATCAACACCATGGTCAAATTATATTCCTCTTAAATCATAAATTATCTATTTTTTAATGTAAAAGACTATGTCCCGACTTCTCCGAGCTTATGTTGTCAACACATTTACTTGCGCAGGGCATAACTCCGTATATATTGGTAAAACAAACACACATATACAATTGGTTCAGGACAAGTCTTAAAAAATGTTTCAACCTCTTCAAAATACAGTTACATACAAAAACACATCCAATTCAAACCGTTTCACTATTTCTGATTTAATTATCAACTTTAGAGTGATATTTTACCCACTTGACGTGTAATCGTACCGAATACTCAGTATGTCCCCAAATATTAGCGCAAAAAAAATTGCAAGAGATTCGGGTGGAAAACGAACCGACGACCTACAGGTATCCTGCCTGATGTCTTAACCACTAGACCACCAAGCTTGCGCATGGTGACTAGTGATGAATCCGAGTTCTGAGTTCTGGGAGTTTGCGTCAAGAAAATATCATAGGAGTGATGTTTGGCTCTACCTGACGTGTAATCACGCCAAATACTCAGTACGTCTCCAAATACTAACGAAAAAATTCGCAAGTGATTTGGGTGGGTGCTTAGATGTGTATAAGAGACAGGTGTGTGTTCTTTCCCCTTCTCAGTTTTTCCCCCTGAAAAGAAGAAAAACCACAATTTGTCGGGGAGAAAGAGATTAATATGTATTTTCTATATATTAGGAGACCATAGATATATAAAAATCAATTAAATAAACCTCTGAAACAAATGAATTGTCATATTTTTTGGAGCTCCACCCCCTGGACCACTTTCAAAACATTTAATCTACACCCGACTACGCCTACTTTGCTCTTATCGGGGACCATTCCCCCCACTTCCCCCACCCAGATTCCAGACGCTGGCGCTGCTACTGCCCGCCCAAATCACTTGGGGACGTACTGAGTATTTGGTACAATTACATGTCAGGTAGGGCAAAACATCACTCCTATGATGTTTTCCTACTAAGGTCCCACAAGACGACAATGTTAAAACATACGCAAACACGTGTGTTTGGGGACAACACCTGTGTTTGTGAGACGCGCGCATATTCCTAGCGTTGTTCTGATTGGTCAGTTGTTAAGTTTAATTGACACTCCGGAGAGGTCTATGGTGATAAATTAAAAAACAACTTATTTCAATACCACCCTTTCATTTTAATTGTTTACATGACTTACCACAGTGGCTTACCTTAATATTGCATGTCAACCATACATTTGACAGGCATTAAATATACCAATATAGCATACTCTAAGATTGCCCAATGATGACGTGTGACATGTTGCTTATTAGTATCAGCTATTATATTAGATGCATTAATGCATTCATACTATATGTTTATAATTTATATTGCTAACCTGGACAGTGTAGTTGGTATTCGGCATTATATTTTCATTAATTGTCAGTGAAGTCGCTGTGGTATCCATATTGAACTTTAAATTCTGTAAATCACTATATACAAGCACATTGTATCCTAGTATTTTGCAAGGATTATCATTAGGTAATGTCAATTCCAGTGTGATTGATGAAGACGTTGAAGTTAATGTACTAATGGTTGGTTTTCCAGGATCTGTGGGGAAATATAATAATAATAATAATAATAATAATAATAATAATAATAATAATACAATAATAATAACAATAATAAAAATATTATTATTTTTCTTCTTATTATTATTTAGTAGTGTGCAGCAAATATTCTATTTTAAATGTATTTAATTTGCTACACCTCAAGAGGAAATGTTTGATATCTTCTTTGATAGTTGACATAAAGTGCAAATATTGGTTATCTATATATTCCTAGAAATTATTTTCTCATTTACTGATAGTGTATTTCATCTCGGTATTTCTTTATTCAAAAACCACAAAACAACAACAATTTCATAAAATATGGCAGCTCATTAATGCGTACGCATTAAGAGTTGAATTACATTTCATGATTACAAAGTGAAAAAAAATTTGTTAATAAAAAAAAAAAATAAATAAAAAAAAAATTTTAAAAAAAATAAATGAAAAAAACTCGAATCCATCACGGAAACAAGACATCAAAAGGTGAAAGGAGCACAGTTCAACGCTCAAGATCATAGTCATTAATAAGATTCACCAAATATGGTAAAGGACTGCTCCTGTGGCGCGACGTTTTACAAACAATGTTACGGAGCTTGTTAGCAGAATGAGTATTATATTTATGGACAACATTTCCTCTAACAGGCAATAATGAAAACAAATTTGAAGAGGGGTTTATAATAGACGTAGCAAAGGAAAAGCAAAGGTCTCGACGCCTGTGACTTAGTCTATCAAGGTGCAATGTAGCCAGAGCATTTGCATAAGTGGTATACCCCTTACCCAAGATGATTCTACAGGCACGTTTTTGAATGCGCTCGATAGCATTAATATGGCGTATAATAAGCCCTCCATTCCATACCGGTACCGCATATTCCAACACTGGTCTAACAGAACCTGTAAAGACTATTCTATAAATTCTAACCTAAAACCTATAAAGTAATTTTGATTTTTTAAATAATTTTCTACTTTTTATTACTTTTATATTGTCAAGCATTGCATTAATGGTATTTAAATAGAAAGGATAACATACAATATATTATAAAGGAAAAAAATGTACTAAAAATTAAACCGAGGAAAATGTTAATGATGTGTTTTTAATAAAAAAGCTCTTTACATTCGTATAAGATAAAAAAGGCTTACAGTCAACACCAGACATGACCTCCATAATATCAGTATTGCTGCTAACGTTCATATGCGATGCTGAAACTGAAAATGTGTACTGAGTACAAGGTACGATTCCGTCATCTATAAGAACTTCAGTTTTTGTTGTACTTCCTTGGTGGACTCCTTCTAGTTGATAATCGTAACTCAAGTTAAACTGAGTGCTGTTACAGGTAGCAGCATTCCATTTCATTAATAAAAACGTTCTTTCCAGTACTGAATCGTTGGTAATTGAGGGCGCTGTTAAAAGACAACAACATTGTGTTAATAAATAGAATCCATCAATCAATTTAAATATTCATAGTAAAAAATAGAACAAAAGCCAAAAATCACAACTTCTAACTCTACATATGAAAAATTATTAATTCAATTCATTTATCATATTATTTAATTTTCTATAAAGCTTGAAAATCTGCTTGTTAGGTTGTTGAAGCACACTTAGGTACCCAACAGACAGAAATAATTGAATAATTCGTGGCCTGCTAAATTGGCAACAGTGTGTCTCTACAAACATTAAAAAATCATTTAAACTGGAGTATATCGTAATTATTTCACCTTGGGGTGGCTCCTGCCCTCTCCATCATTGAGAGCTGCCGGTCGGGGAGAAATACACACTTCTTCGGGAGAAGAAAAACTATATACTTTTTACATATTAGTAGATCTTGAAATCGATTAAATAAGCCCGAAATCGCTAAATTGTCCCCTGGATCATTTCCAAGAGGTTTCGAGCGACGCTTAGACATGCCAACTTGTGTTCTCGTAGGAAATTCGGCCACCCGTTGGGGACATCGGACTCCCTGGCGGGCAAATCCTTGCGCAACCCCTGATTTTATCCACTCTCTTACGTACTGTACATAGGCCTACTTATGGTATATTTACTAAACCTTGACATTTTGATTTAGTGATGAGGAACATATATCCATTCAACAATTATGGAGAGAAGCCCATAAATATAGAGTGTAATATACACACAATGCAGGCTAGCGGGTAAGGAAGTGTATATTAAACTAAAAGACGATCTGAAGAGACGGTTAAATATTGTTTGAAGGTTTGCATGGCGAAGTAATAATATATATTAATGCTTACGGTACACCACGTAGATAGTTCTGAAAAGAACTGTTGTTGTTGGTTGAGAATATCTTGACAATTTGAGTTGCTTCAGTCGTCTTCAGGAGGAATATCTGTTCTTCAGGAGAATAATAATCTGTTCTCCTGAAGACGATTGAAGCAACTCACCTGAAATGTTGAGACACTAAAACAATACATACAATTGTTTTAATACCTGTGTCCGAGCATCAGAATCAGTAGTACAGCAGTCAGTATGTATGCTTTACTTTACACTACTACTACCTCAAATAACCAACCAGATTCAAGGCTGCTTTTTATACTTCTAATTACAATACTATTAGTAAATAGTCCATTAATTTTCACTGTGTTGACTACACTATCTCGACCAACTACCAAGAGATTTTGGCTTACTCTACTATAGTCCGGGGGCATATGTCGAAAAATGGGCTCCCGTGGGATTTTTGTGATCATTTTAGTTTTTGGATGGAATATATACTTTGAAGTATGCTGAATTCAATAAAATGAGTCGCCAATTTTTTTACGCACATCTTCATATGCAAATTAGTTAAAATATGCAAATTAGTTCTGAAAATTTAGGGTACTTATATCTTGGTAACCACTTGTCGTAGAAAATTGATTCTTTCTTAAAGTTGTTCAGAACATGCATGTTTCTATTTACGCTAATGAAACATTTTCTTCAAAAATGACCGGAAGTGCCATTTTATCGACTTTATTTATTATTAGTGGTGGAAATATAGGGAGCTATATCAAGAAAACCACTGGTCGTACAGAGTTGCTTTTTGCGACCAAATGTTTAAAACATGCATATTTATATTTACTATAATGGACAATTTTCCTTAGAAATGAACGGAAATCGTGCTTTTGACCTTTGACCTCAATTGTGCGTGAATTTAATATCTTGGCAACCACTGATCGTACAGATTTGCTTTTTGTAACAAATATTTACAAAATGCACTTTATATTCTAACAGAATAATTTCTCAATATCAACCAGAAACTTCTTTATTGACCTTTGACCTATCTTTGAAGTATATAGGCCTATTATTATATATGTGTATATATATACCTAATGACTTATGGTCGAAAGTATTATTACAACAATTGTATTATTACTTGAATATACATATATAGGCCTATATATATATGTATATATATATATATATAAATCATTAAATAAAGGTAAATACAGTGTTCGAATAAAGGACATAATAATACATCGTGTACCAAGGCTCTCAACGAATGTAGTCCTGTAAATA